CTTGTAAATATAGAAACTTTTTAAATGGGGCAAACGCATACATTTGAATATCGTTGTAGAAATAATTACATAAAGCTGCGAGTGTCATAAAGTTTTAATTAATAATTTTTGTACATTTCGAAACGTAAATAAATTGCAAGTTTAGAAGGTTGATACAAATGTTTAGATGGAACGCTATATATTTGCGTTTGAATAAACAAAAACTGTTGTTTTATTCGATATTGCCTACGGGTTTTCGAGAAGAAATTGATGAATGACTTTTTGGGGAGGGGGGGAGGGGGGAGTACAGATCTTTCGATACATAAATATACGCCAACGCATCGAACGGGCTTGTTTCAATAAATATGGAGGTAAAAATCACAAAGCAGAATTCTCGGGAAAAACAGTATTCTAAAATATAATTACTCCCATAAATAAAATTATAAAACATACGTTAATAGATACTAACTAAAGTATGTGAACTATAAATTATTATTTATTTCGTAAAACACATTACAATAATCAAAGAATCAACTGTTAATTAAAGTGAAAATATCGTGGTAAAGGCTGCGCTCTGAAATTAGATATGAGAAAGTGAAAGCAACGATATCTATTTAATAAACGAAAATTACGAAAATGAGATTAATGTTTTACGTAGGAAAGAGAGTATATATATATAGATATATATACGCGCGGAATATACGAGAAGTTAAAACGTGAAATATATATTAATCCTCCACTGGCACACTGGGACTTTTAAGGATATCCTAAAGTCTGTTTTATCGATTCAGTAGGATCTATACATTCACAATTTACGTATCACTAACACATCAACTACATCCTGCTACAATATTGCACGCATTCATATAAAATATTTATTTAATTGATTTTTCACATTAGCTATCTAATTCTAAAAATTCAATATTATTTGTTTATGTAATTCTTAGTTCAAAATTGTTTTATACGTACAAAGTACAGAACTTTTAGATAAAGCACGAGTTGACTCCAGAAGTCGATAAAAAATTATAATTGTTAATCAACTTTTTTTTCATTCTTAGCATAAAGTTTGACTGGTTTGGACTGTATTATCGTTTATACTTTAATTGTGGAAAAGGATTTTTAAATCTATATATACAGTTTCTATTCTATTAGGTGTTGGAATTAATTCGTAGCGTTTTACAATGAAAGAATGTTATTTATTTCACATGAGCATTAAAAAATACATTAATGAAAGTACTTCCCATCACTTGTAAAACGCTACGAATTAATTCCAACACCTAATAATAAAAATATGTTAATAATTTCACAAATATACAAGAATTTTTTTTAGATTTTTACACAGTTCAGAACAATAAAAAAATATATTGTAGCTTTCAACGACGCGAAACATGATCGAAAAATTTCATTGTGCCGGTGGCAGGTAAGAAATTCGCCTCCATCTAATTACGATTAAAGAATGTAACGTATACACGTAATTTGTATTGAAGTACTTGTCAAACTGCGATTATTAATTTCCAGATATAAATATTGACGTGGCGGAACGGTCCCGCGTTTTAGAGGAAGATCTAATTCATCTCACAGATGGAATTACGGTTGCTGTTTGTCGGCATGTACGAAATTTTACGGGATGCGAGATCGAATTTGTCGCTAATGCATACTGATGTTCGGATATAACAGGAATGTGCATATACGCCCACGATTCATTTACGCGGCTGTAATCGTTTATCCAGCATCGGGTCGAGTAAACGAGATACATATTCCATTTAAATTTTTACAGGAGAACGTAATGTTACTTCACGTTAATCGCGATATCATATAGGTGTCCAGGGATCGTTGTTTCAATTGAAATTGTCGATGTTAAACCTGTGTCAGATTACGCATTGGAGATTGGGAATCGCGAAATGGAGATTAGAATTCGACTAATCCAATAAATTTAATTTTAATCTTCGTTCGTTCTGATCAGTCGAATTCTAATCTTCAATTCGCAATCCGGTTCCATCAATGTAAGATAACTTTAATCTCAGTTTAATTTTCTATTTATTTTTTTCTAATTCTAATGTTCGTTTTAACCAATTTAGTTTATTTTAATCTCGATTCAATGAACACTTCACCTTTTTCTAATTCCAAGAATCAGAAAAAGGTGAAAAGTAAGTTGAACTAAGATTAAAGTTAGTCTATATTGATAGAAATTGGCATCAGAGTTAGAAAAAGATAAGAATAAATTGAACTGAGATTAAACTAAAATTAATCTTACATTGGTGATAACGCGAATATATCCTGTTGATCTGAAGACTTTTTCCTAATTTTTATATAATAATAATAATTTTATCTCTTATTCTGTGTTTCATAACCTTATTTTTTATAGTTCTGAACTTAAAAATTTCTGTAAAAAAAAGAAATAATAAAACTATACTAAGAAAAATATTTGATTGAAAATGAACAAAGACCAGAAGATTCTGATCAATCAAAATTCTGTTTATTTCAATAATAGATTTAACTTAAAAAATTTTGATTTGTTTATTTTCAACCAAAATTACAATTAATGCAGCTACTCTCTTTCCAATGTAATAACAAAGACTTCAGTGGATCCTAAAGAACGGTTCTTTTTAGTGTCAAAAACATGTGTTAACTGTTACGGATCAATTTTCAATACGTAGTCTGATACAGGCTTTACGCTCGTTCAGGGCGCAAATTCGGGCATCGCATATACCCTCCATGAGGACATGGAAAATGGTGGATCAACAGCCTCCTCGATTCTTGGATTTATCCACGCGTTAAATCTTAAATATATAGGGAACTGAATTCCTTCAATTGATACTTTCTAAAACTTTCAGAGTGAATCTCACTCTGAAGAGTGAAATCTCATTCTTAGAAATTGAAAATTGAGCTACTCTTTTTCAAGAATGGTCTTTTTAAATTTTCACTCTTTAGTCTAATATTACGTTTGTCGTACGACAAAGATTTTAAGTTCATTGGTTTGCTATAGGACAGAGAGATCCGACAACTTCTCTTTCCTGCAGCCAATCAATAGACTTAAAATGCTTTGTTGTATGACAAATGTAATATCAGCCTTAGAGTGAAATTTCATTCTAAAGAATTAGAAAGTTTACAGTTAGAAAATTTATGTTAAATTTAACATACATTTCACGTGTCTCAAATTTTTATGTTAATTGAATGTGTTAAAAAGTAACATATATTATATAAGAATTAACATAAAAATATCATATTGACACAATTTAAAAACAAACTGGAAGCATATTTCTTCTAAAATTAGTTTATAATATATTAATTAACACATTTTATTTATATATTTATCTTAGAATATACCTTTTAAAATTTATTATTTTTATATTAATTGTCGACTTATAAATTGCGTTATTATTATTATAACCAAGAAATAAAAGAGAAAAAATCAGTTTAATTAATTTAATTTTTTTGTTAACAAGAATCAATTTTAATATTTTTCACTGTGTACCAATGATGAAGATATCGTTTTCACAGTTAACAAGATTGGACTATATTACGCGTTGAAACGTGACACACGAATGAATGGGAGCGTCGAGGATTCCTTAACCAATATATTTATATACTTTTAGCTTCCTTAGAATCCTTGGATTTATAGATACTCTTCTGGTCACGCATTCTTCGCGTGTCGTAAATCGCGTTATCCACAAGCTAAATATTGTCATTCATAAATTCCTCAACTTTCCGTCGCGAATTAAATTCGAGACGTCGACACGTTGTTATCTTTCAGAAACTCTGCATTATTTTATGAAAGTAGACGTAATGAAAACGGTATAATTTCAAAATTTTCTCTTTTTTATTATTACTTTTACGGACTTTGAGAAGCTCGGTCGTTGACGGTGGCGAGGAATCCCGCCGTTTTGTGGGATCCCTTTGATTTACCGCGAAAAGGTGGTACGGTTCAACGATCGTGAAAAGAGCAAAAGGCTTTTATGGTAATCTGTGTGGAGATCTTTCATCCATTCAACGCATTTATTTTAGACCATTCCTCCGTTCTTCAAGTAGAAAATTGTCTTTGCCTGTCTCCGTTTCGAACACCCAGTATAACTTGCCACCGGTACTTTCTCAAATGAATCTATGTATATAGATCCTAATTGGGATCGCTAATTAACATGTAACATTTTTTAAAATTAGAAGTATCAGCCTAATAGGATATATATTAAGATTCTATTCTTTGTATAATTTTTTATTTTTATATCTTTTATATATATATATATATATATATATGTATATTTTCTTATTTCACATTTCAATTCACAAAGTAGTAAAATGGCAATTTCCTACGGAAATTGCAGCATATCTTTGTAACGATCGGCTGCAGTTTTCGCGGAAATTCCTCAGGAACGGGGAAAAACTCTCGGAGAGAAAAAAGGAAAAAAAAAAGAGGTCATTTTTTCCAGTTTAATTTTCGTACGAAATTACGCGGAGTTTCCGAGCCAACATAGAGTAGAGCAGAAAAGTAGACAGAGAAAATGCGAACCAATAACTAGCTCGAGACTATGGGACACGTATGACAGAGCAGTTTAGCAGGTCAAAGAAAGAGAGAGCGAGAGAAAAGACAAGACGTAAAAATAAAGACCGATAATTTCAACAACGAAGGAAGTTAGAAGGAAAGAAGTGAATCGAATAGGCGGTTTCGAAGCGATTAAAGCAAAGCGAGACAGGAAGTGAATCGGACGATCGAAAGGACGAGATGGAAGAAAAAAAAAAGAAAAGAGAGAAGGCAGGAAAAAGACAGCAAGAAGAACCGTCGGCGTCGGTCGTGATAGCGTGGCGCGACGCGGCACGTCGGATGGTCGGATCGGGTCCCGGGACACGACCGTGCGCCGCTCCACGCTGCCCCACCCATCCTCGCGTCGGCCATGCCGGGGCCGCGAGCCGATCAATACTTCGGCTCGGACACGAGGCGCGGCGGACGCGACCGAACGGCGCCGAACATGGCCGAGCCCTGGCACGAGGCAAGCCGAGTTCCCCACTACGGGCGGCGTTGCCGGCTCAGTCGTTGTGCGGGAGTGGTCGCCGAGGGATGTGTGGTATCGTAACCGCGAGTGTGATCGAGGAATAAAGGGCCCGGCGTTTTAGTTCTTCTCGTTCGCGTTTAGTCCACGGTCTCTCTCCCTCTCATTCGTCCATTTCTCGCGCGCGCGTGCTCCCTCTGGCTGTCCGAGGGAAAAGAAGAAGAGGAAGAAGAGAAAATAAAAGGAGAAAAAATCTCCGGAGTACAAGAAGCGTGTAGTACGCAGCCCATCGTTATCGCGGCACGTAAACGTTCCTTCGTCACCGCTCGTCCCTCTTCCGCACGCTTGTCTGAATTCGAGCGGGTGCACGGATCTACGCACAGATCGTGTATTTACTTCATTATTTATTGTACAAAGGACTTATAAGCCATAGGTAGGTGGAAAAGTCGGTTCTGCGACGCAATTTGTGATCCTTTTTCTCTCTCTCTCTCTCTCTTTCTCTCTTTTTCTCCCCCCACATGCCTGGCGCCGTCTTCGTCTAACGTGTCCCTCCTGCTCGTACGCTTCCGCGCCCTCCGTCTCGCTCGCTCCCTCTCAGGCCGCATGCTATAAACGCGCAGGTCGGTCGGGCCGCTTCTTCCACGCATTCGTCACTTCCTGCGTGACCGAATCGCCGCCGGCAACCGCCGTCGACGCTTCTAGATCGTACGTACGCTCGTGTCCGCTTATCGGCGCTCTCGTGGGAAACTCGAGACACGAGAACAAACCGAGAACCGGCTATCGATCTCTTGCGGTAACGTACTGCGTCGTAGAACACGGCTCGTACGCGTGTCTCCGCATTGACGTGTAATTAGCGTGTCCTGTTCATCGAGGTGCGAGGATCGATCTCTCTCCTCGATAACTCGCTCGGTTTAATCGGCTGGTTTCTCTCCCCCTCTTCGCGATCCTAATCGATCGGCTTCGCGACAATCGTTCGAAGGCGTCACCGTCGGAGAACGCGGCTGAGAATTTCGCTCTCGCTCCGTGAAAGTAACTGCCGTGGCGCTATTATGGCTGGCTCCCTCTTGAAAAGGCGGCCGCGGAGCCAAGCGAAGCGGCCATAACCTCTACTTGGACGGTACGACGCGGTTGATAATTGCTTTCCATTTTCACACGTCATACCGAGTCTACGGCAGGTATTCATTGGCTCTGTTTTTTATTGCTGCACTTTCTGAATTAGTGTACACAGTCCAATAAATTGAAACACATATACTGTTTGTTTCACTTCTACTTATTGCTACTGATTCAGAATGCAGCAATAAAAAAACAGACTTATAGCCTGTTCTTATATTTAAAATCGTCTTAAGCGCCGTCTACAAGGAGATTTTAAGTGCTAAACTTTAGCTTTATGCATCGTCTACAATATGCGGAGTAAGCTTGGTGTTTCTGCACTTTCTGATTATTCTTCTCTCATTCGACTGTGATTGGTCAATTTCTTGAGACTCGGGGTTAAAAGCTTAAGTTTTACATCCTAGAATCTCATTGTAGATGCTATTTTAAGTACAGTTTTAAAATACAGGTCAATCACAAAATCATATTAATATCTTAAGACATTACTTAAGGCTATCTTGAAATAAGAACTGACTATGAAGCCTAAGTTATGTATTTTAAACTCAGATTAATAACTGCTTGCTTACTTTGATGACAAAGTCATTGCGTAACAACATAGGATAATGTTACTTTTAATAGTTAACAAGATTCAATGAAGCATACAGTCTCTTGAACTTGTGCAGATTTTAGGAAAAAACTTAGTTGAATCTCACTTGCCAGAATGAAGAGAAGTGCATTCAACTGAGTTATGACGTCACAAATTAGAATTATTTGAATTGATGTAAATGGAAAGCAACTGATGGGTACTTTCCAGCAACGAACATAGATGATACAGTGTAACACAGTGAATCATATTCTTATCGTGATCTTTTGCCATTGTTAAACAAAGATGAAATGATCGCTTGCCTCTTGCTGGAAAGCACCAAATGTCTGCCGCCTCTTCTCACGAGAACCGGACGCGACGTCTCTGCGACCTTCGTCGCGACGTCGTTTGCGTTGCTCATCCACCATCTCCCACGAAAGCTACTTTGCATGGCTAAATATGTCTTTGTGCGGAGGACGACCGACGCCAGTTCTTCACGAGGGTCTCTATGAGGTATCCCTATTGTCTCCGAGAGTGACCTTATAGTCCAAAACTTGAAAGTACAGGCAATAGAAACAGAAAATGATGGATTTCGATCTCTCAGAAACCGTGTATTATGATTCCGTACTCGGGCTCTTTAGTTCTTATTATAATTGATGAATTTTCTTTAATTCGTTGCATTGTTGCGCAGGTTTTTCCATGTATTTTTCCATATTTGCGCAACAATAATATAACCGACACTGTTAAGAATTACAAAATCGGAATATATTATTCTTGACGATAGTGTCTCGATATCGTTTTATTGTATGTATTGCGTATGTATTATATATAATAAAAAAGCTGCGCAATGACTTTAATATTATATAACGATAACGAATTGTCGTTGCGAGTTACAGAATACAAGCACTGGTATACGCGGTTTCTGATAGGTTGAAATCTCTTATTCTCTCTCTCTCTCTCTCTCTCTCTCTCTCCCTCCCTCCTATTGCCTGTGCTTTTCATTGTGTTTCAAGCTTAATGCACAATTGAAAAGCACAAGCAATAAGAACAGGGAATAACAGACCTATCTATAACCTTAAACACAATGAAAAGGACAGGCAATAGGAATGCGAGAGAACAGGGAATAATAGATTTCAACACGGAAAAAAACAGCTGAAAACTTCACTGATTCAGCAAATCTACAGTCGTAATATACAGACGGTTAATTTTCTATGTTAAAATAGCAAAGTTGACAGCTAAATAACATTAACGATTTGTTAAATCATCAAATCTTCTTAGTTCAATGTTGAATTCGCGTAATAATAAATTATAGGTTTGCTGTAGCATCCAATTAATTTTTTTTCCGTGAACCAATTAGAAATCGTGTATACTAAAATAGCTCGGTTTTTGAAAGGTTGAAATTTGTTATCTATTGCTCTATTTTTATTGCCTGTACAATTTCAATTGTGCTTTAGGTTTTCCAAAAGTAACGAAAGTTTCAGAGATTATTATCATACGTGACGAATCTTCTTTTGTTTTTGATTATCTTATAATGTCTATTTCTGTCAGATAGAATAACTTGAATCTCAGTTTAATTTGTTTCTTATCTTCTAGTTTTAAAATTGGTAGACTTTAAAACTAGAAGATAAAAATGATGAAAAATATTTTTAGTCGGTTCTTATTCAAGATTATCTTAAGATATCAATCACGTCTTAAGATATCAACGGCTTTGTGATTGGTTTATATCTTAAGACTGCATTTAAGATGATTTTTAGATATGAGAGTTGAACTTGGCCTAAAAGTTAAAAACAAATAAAGAATACATTGATCGATATTATTTAATCTACATTGGTAGAGATATACGTTAGCGATTTTTAAATAAAATTCCGCCTAAATTCACTTTGAGAATTTGAAGAGAAACGAGATCTTAAGCCCATATTAGACCATGAATTAGAATTGAATTTTGATTGAAATTTGACTAATCGAACTAAAGTTCATTAAATTTCATTTACTGATCAAACTAAAGTTCATTAAACTTGATTTAAATTCCAATCCGATCCCAATTTTAAGCTGCACGGAAAAAACGCTCTTACTGTAAAAAATTAAAAATTTTATTGGATATTTTGAAAACAATTTTTGTCGGATTATATTAAAATTTTTTTCTGGAAACTCTTAAATTGATTGCTAAAATATCAACATTTTTTTGCAGTATTGCATTTTTTAGTTTCTAACATGATTATTTTAATGATTCAATAAAATTATGTTTAATTTATATTCAGCGAAATTTTAGTTGCTTCAGATTGCAAAATCATTTTTTCGTGTCTGATATCTATTTTATTAGCTTCCGATTCTGAATCTGGACTTTCAAATATTTTCTCAAATTTTATACTGTTAAGTACTGAATTTCCAAGAAACTCTCATCTTTCGAATTTTACTGAAATTTCCTTCAATGATAGAGCATTTCTTATCTCGTGCGATTTTTAGACTGGATCGCAATTAATCTGTTTTTTTAGTCTTCTTCTTTCTTTCGGATAGATTTTATATCGATCTAACTATTGATCGATCAGCATACAATTGTTTTCTCCTCCCTCCCCCTCCCCTTTTTTTATTGAGAACGCTCAGATCTTGCATCGATCGATCGATGGCCTTGAGATCTTGTTAAATGTGAAGCCTGTGTTCTTATTTCCTAGATTTATTTATAACGGTGGTTCAATGGTATTTTATGCTTTTATTTCACGTGACTATATTTATGGCGATAAGTACTGACGGTCAATATTGACGAGAAATTGCGAGGTCATTTTTAGAACGAGGATAAAGTTTGAATTTTAATGCCCCCCCCCCCTCCCTCCCCCGAGATTGATTCACGGTGTTCCGAGTACATTTGCGCATCCGATCGAATTTTTATTTTGATACGACATGATTGATATCGATCGTAGTCGATATTTTAGAACGCATTCAGAGAAAAAGGCATTATAGCAGCAATTATAAAAGTGATAATAAAAATTTTGTGAATTTATCTATGAATTTTATGTATTGTACACAAATGAATGAACTATTTTATGGTTGCAATAACTTATAGAATTCAATTGGGTGCATTAGGGAGCATATTAAAACTGTTGAACACAAATTGATGTAGAGGATTAAACCGTGAAATTTTCAGTACATTTTATTATGTTTTAAGTAAAATATAGATATTTAATATTTTGAAATATTTGCATTTTTTTTTCACTTTTACACTCGGATTGAATCAATATGCAGCAGTTCGCAGTAGTGTGTCCAATCAAATTTGTTAAATATAGAATTAAATAAATTTTATTATATAACATAGTTAATAGAATCAACTATTTTATAATTGCAATAAAGTAAGAGAGAGATATAAATTAGCCAACACTTGATGCGTACAATAAATTTATTCAAAATTTAGTAAAAAATTACGGAGAAAAAGAAATGTAAACTTCTTTCAACTATTGTTTTAGGTCTCGGTATAAATTAAACGTAGAAATGCATAAAGTATATTTAACAAAGTAAACCGCTGTCCATTAGAATGTGTTTTTTGAATCGCAATGCAATCATTAAACAGGATTGCTACAAAGTTGGAAATTGGAGAAATATCAGAGAAATTGAAAATGATCAGAGAAAAAGACATGAAATTTTACAAAATTTTCTGAAATTTTTAAAGCCAGTTCTTGGCTTCAAAAAAATTCAACATGCGTAGGTATGTACATTACTCGTATCCCACGTAGTTTTGAAATAATTAACTTAACTAATAAATACAAGTAATA